CCAGCTGCTCGCAACAGGCGATCAATGGCTTGACGTCTTCGATCCTCGGCGTCATCACTTTGGCCTCCCCCTCTTTGAAGGCCGTCGCTATTTTCACAAAGGGGTACTTGGCCACTACTTCTGGCAGTGACAACTTGTTGTTCATTTCTTTCCATTCGTTCAGGCGCTGCAGGTTCATCTGGCTCACAGCAACACCGACCTTCTCGCATCCCTCCGCTATCCCTACTAGACACGCCACCGAGATGGACCCCAGCTTGGACACCTCCGCCTCTTCCCCCCTCGACCTCAAGTCCTGAGCCGCCTCCACCCACGCCTGCGCTCTTCCTCGTCCCTGCAGGATGGGTTCTGTGTTCTCGGCCATCGTCATCGTGATCAAAGTAATAGCCTCTACGTGTCTTGTACGCATAGTCACGTTCATCATCAATTTCATGAGCACAGGCACGATCTTTTTTATTTGATTTACGTCGTACTCTTCTAGCTCCGCGATCTCCTCCTTCGATGCCGTCCGATTGGATTTTGTCTGTGTTCCCTTCTTCGTCCGTCCTCCTCCGCCTCCTCCTCCTTCGGCCTTTCGCCTCGCGGCGGGGGCCGCCGTCGCGGCAGCTGGGGCCGCCGCAGGGGGCGCCGACCACATGCCAGACCAACTCTGGAAGAGGGATGGGAAGATGATCGCGTAGGTGAAACTGAAGCTCCTCAAAAGACCGAAAAGGCTGCAGGCATACTGGGCATGACCTATCCTCAGGATCTTGAACGGGCGGGTTGAACTTCGACGAGTCTACCCTGCGCCGTCCAAACCGATAAGAATTCACAAGATGTCTGACCGCCGTATCACGGCATCTGAACGTCGACAGGCAGGCAACACATTGATTGGTGAGAACCAGCTTGGATATGGTGGACGGAATTCCATGTTGACCACCAATTGCTTGCCTCTGGTGGACTAGCAGGGCACGCCTAGATATAAAACGTCGGCCACATTAAAGGCCATCATCATCAAGATACGAACAACAATATTCACCTTCGGCAACCTCTCCTGGTTCGGGGGAAACGTCCGTGGGCGGCAGCGGTCTCATCAGCCATTCAGCTCGAAACTGCTGCATATCGATCTTCTGAAACGCGTCATAGGCCTCGGAGTTCCCGCGAAAGATCCCCAAGTAGTCTATGACACTGGCCTCGTCCCGAAGTAACTCCAATACGTCCCTCCCCTCCTCCGTACATTCCATATACATAAGATCTTGCACAAACTGTTTGGCCCATGGGTTGTCTCTTGAGGTATCCTTGGGGCTCGAGCACGCACTGGGGTACCAGGAGAAAGACGACGGAACCGCTTCTTCGACCTCCAAGATCCCGAAGACCGCCGTCAGCTGTTGTACATGGTATACCGGACTGCGAGCTATTTTTTGCCACTCTTTCAGCCTCTGGACCCTCAACTCTAAGCCAATCGGAACAAGTCCCGCCTGGCGCCATAGAACATGTGCAGGGGGGTCCTGATAACTGTAGTCTTGGAACCGTCAGGGTTGACAACTTCGATCCTGGTAGCATCACCACCTAGGAGCACACGTAGATATCGGAGACAAATACACTCAATACGGGCAACTTGGGAGGCCGAGAGGACCAGGGCCGTGAGCCCCGAGATCGCAGCGCCTATCACGTCGCTTCTGAACGCCATTTTTTTCGAACGCCATGAGGAACAGACAGACCAGAAGCGCTTCATGTGAGCCCAGCCTCGAACAGCAGCAGCTCGCCTAGCTTCAACCTCTGACGCCCACGGTCCCGACGTCGAGAAGAGGGTCCCGAGAAAAGGAACAACAGGTAAAACTTGTCCAGGGAGATCATGAGCACCATACGAGAAGGCCATCTTTGTGGCCCAATGCGCCCCAGGACCACTGAAGTGAGGGACCACCTGTTTCTTACCCGCGCTCTGGAAGACACCGTGCTCGCGTAGCGATCCATCCAGTAGACGATCTTAGTGCATTATGGTAGCTCGTGCATCGGCCAGGTCCCGAACAATGTGTGTTTTGTTCAGGTCATCTGCAAAGGCGCGCTGTCTCAAGTCGCACTTCTCGCCTGTAACAGCGCAAGTGCCCAGTAGACGATTCTGAAACTTCAGATGGTGGCCAATCTGCCACTCATTCACTGGCGGCGCGAACGCTTCCTGAAACACAGTGGCAGCATTGGCATCCCCCATGTAGTTCCCCTCCGTGTTGCGAAAAACTTTGTAGCCGCCATCGGCCGTGACCCTACAACGCGCTCTTCGATGCCTCTGCTTCAGGGTGTGAGCGTCCGTAGCATCATGCAGCCTATCCACGGCCTCGTCCAGAGACTGGTGCTTCGCGGGCCCGAACGCGTTCCGCATATCGTGTTTCGTATCGACCGTAGACACCCTGCCCCGAGACACCCTCCAGGAAAGCGCCGCGGTAGTTCGAATCGCCCCCGTTCTCGAACGTCGTGGTAAGTAGCCGTAATCGCAGCACGGCATCGACCTCGCCTTCCTCCTCGCCACCTTCACCCACATTTTGCCGAACGAGCAGAGACCGTGAAGCAATCTTGTACTCTGTGTGCGTGTCTTATCGTTATCCTTCGACAACTGATAAGTGAAAGAAACGTTCCAATGTGCAGCAAGCCTAGCATGCTGACGAACTTTGGTCAGAATACACTTCACCCACTTACTGATCAACTGTCCGACGCCCTCTGGGGACTCAACTCCAAGTCCTGCAGATCGCACCTTCTCAGACTGGCGCGACAAGAGCAGCAGCGACCAAATCTCATTCGGCACGCTCCACGGCACTGCAGCACGCCTTCGGCGTGCTGTGCGAAAACCTTTGGCAATGCGTTCAAAGTCGTGCTCGGCCTGGGACATGTCATCGATCGAGGGAAACTCGTCATCATCGAACCTCGAGGCGCTCAGGATGACATCGGCCTCGCTGATCTCGGTCGCACTCATTCCACCCTTGCTCGACGGCGTCGCAAGATCCTCCACCCACTCCTCCATGCTCGGTGTGTGTGACGCAATATGTCCGTACTTCCTCCTCCTAGGTCCCACACCAGCCCCCGCCATAAGTCTACATATCCTCCACTCCTCCGACGCGAGCCTCTTCGATTGTGCCTCCATCAGTTCCTCCGAAAGTTGGGCCTCTCGGAGCTCGCGAAGTTGCCGACGGAACAGCCTGCACTTCTTAGTAATTCGGGTTAGCGCCATAGTAGACTCCAAAGAGCCAGTACACCTTTCACGCGTCTTACCCCTCTCCCGCAGAAGCCGCGCACGTTCCCGAGACATCTGTGAGTACTCAGCTGGCATAGCCTTAGGGGTGGCCTGAAAGATCTCAAGCCCCTTCTCCTGGATGAGCTCCATCAGGGACTTCCAGGCATCCTCGAGGTTCTCAGATTGGACAAGCTCCTCCAGGGACCCCGCACCTCTCTGCTCAAGTAGAGACTCTACGGCATGTTCAACACTCTTGCGAAACACTTGTGCATGATGCTCACTACGAAGTGCAAGGCCCAGCCCCACGAAGTCCCAGCGTTTCCGAAGAGGTTCCGCACGGTAGCAGGGCCTCAGCTCCAGTTGGAAGACAAAGGGGATGTGGTCCCTGGGCCGACTGTCTGGGATGATCTGGAGCCGCTTCGCAGCCCTCATCGCTTGCGTAAACCTCTGGATCCTATGAACATGGCATTCAGGAACAAATACATGATCAATATACGACGCGTGCTGCTTCTTGGTGCCCTTCTGGGTGCTCTGGAAGCTCGGTGTAGCCGGCGTTATCCTGGCCTCGTCAGGGACAGCACCATAGTAGCTGGGACCACAGTGGAAGAACGTATTTGCGGCCGCGAGCGAGTACGTCTCCGCGAAGCTCCTCATCAGTCCCCCTGCCAGGTGCTCCTCTCCGCGTCCGTGTTCTCCCAGCGCAGACGACGCAATGTCAGAGAGGCCGTGGGGTCCGTGACAGCGTCCTAACCCATCGTTGAGATCCATAGCGATGATCGGCGTAGTCCTGCTCGGTAGACATGACACCACATGATGTGCAAAGTCGTGAATCTTGTTCACCGTAGTAGTCAGTTGGTTCTGCTCCCTGGGGTCACGACTCCTTGGCGGGAAATAGAGCGCCATGCACGTCACATCTCCATAGTAATATTTGACTCGTATAGCTCCTCCCCGTCCACGAATATCTTTGGGTGCCACCCAAATCCTCACACCATCTCTCGCACGTACAGTATGTTTGTTAATGTAGAAGGAGACTCCGCACGAACAGTTAGAATGCGCACTCTTGGGATCATATCCCATGTGTACAGCATTGAAGTTGGGTAGATCTTCCACCACATACGAAGAATAATAAGCACGTCTCTGTGTAGCAACTAAAATCACAATATCCACTTTGGCAAACTCATACTGCAACTCCAGTTCACGATCTCTATCGGAAATAGACAAAGGATTCCAACATACTATTCTCATCAGACACTTCGAATCATTCACGAGACCCAGGCACCAGCATGCAATCAACACAAGTGTGTACAGTGGGCGAGTACGGTAGCGGGGCGACGGCGGTCCCGCCTCGATGTCGGTGTGGCGGGGGGCGCGCCTGCCGCCGTGCAGCCGCGGCATCTGGAAAGCCTGGGCCGCCTGGGCCTGCGCGCTAGGAATCCATCGATTCAAGGTGAGGGAGAGGAGGAGGTGAGGAGGGAGTGAGAGCAGGAGGCGGGGAGGAGGTAGGAGGAGGAGGAGGAAGAGGAGGAGGAGGAGGAGGACTGTGACGCTACGGGAGCGCCTGAAACGTGCCGAAGAAGGACGAGGATGAGCGGCAGCAGCAGGGGGCGGAGGAACTGCAGAGTAGCGGCATCGGTACAGTCGAACCTAAGACATAATAACATCTCTCAAGAGCACGAGACCCTCCGCGGGCCAACACACACACACAGAACATCCAAGGGCACCCTCCCCAGGGTGCGCAAGAACATCCAACGAGCAGGCAGAACATTAGGGCACCCTCCCCGAACCGACGTCGATCTTATAC